GAGCGAAAAATTGCATCAGATCTGTACCAGATCAATAGAGCATAAACAACTATTAAACGGGTAAACGTTTGTACGGCGTTTACGAGGAAAATAACTTGCGAGACTAAAGAAATCAGTTGAGTCAGAGCTCCTTATTTAAATAAGAAAGACGAGGAGATAGCCAATGTGTTATCGCCAACGTGTTATCGCCAATCGCTTGGCTCGCCAACAAGCTTTATGCAATAGAAGAAAAAAGCAAGGAGGTACATGTAGCCAACGTGTACTGTCACGGACCTTCTCTTTGTTTACTGTCTAGCACAACGCCGTTGTCAACGGTGCAAACTCGTGTTCAGTGCAACGATAACTCTACCAGAACTTATGAGAATCAATCTGTAGTATTCTGTACACAGAACTGTATCATAGCTTGTCAAACCTGCTTTAATTTAAACACTGCTTATAAACTGTGAAACTGTTGAAATCTACAGTGACATTAATGTATTCAACACATGCAAAAAGCTGAAAATAGACGTGACACTGGGAAAAGTCAAAGGTCAATGAGACGTGTTATTGTGAAACATGTCACAATTAGGTTGAAATGCGGAAGCGGATGGAGCGGATCCACGGAACGAATATGCGGACAAAATACGGAACGGATGAGGATAAAATGCGTCCTTTTAATGATGTAACGACGTAGTGCTTATTATTCATAACATATCTTATACAGCTATTTCAATTATAGTTTTAGATAAATTTAACATAGCAGTAGCCTCGTGGGGATGCTTTTAGCGACAGCTGCAAATGCAAATGAAAATTTAGAATATGCAAAATTTGGTTGTTGGTGAAACAATTTAAATTTCGAATTGTCGCGTGTAGCATCACAATAAATAGATAAATAGCATCAGTTTCACAAGGCACGTTTCTGATGTGTTAGGCTTGTTTCAAACGTCACGTTACTCGTGTGCCGAGCGCATTAAAAGCAATAAATAATGAGATGAAATGCCTTTGGTAACTGTTTATTTCGTAGTGTAAGCCAACAGCTTTTCTAGGTTGTCGGCGACCCTATATAGTTCTTGCAGTGTCTTTTTCAATTTGAAACTTCACACTATCCTTGGATCCCTAGTTTAATTTTGTGCGCGAGCCATTTTTAGTTTGTTGGAAAAGACACACCCCCCTGGTTCACAAAATTTGAGTTCGAGAAATTGTTTTCATTATTCTACATTATAAGTACCCAAAGAAGCTATATATATAAAAAACCGGATACAAATAGGTGTTTTGCGAAATTGAGAGCAATTTTAAATCTGTTCAGTTTTTTTTTATACACCCTGTATACTACTAGGGTACTGCCATGTTAGGCTATTGGTAAATATCAAGATTGTGTTGGCTCCGCACTCGATTGAATAACAATGGCAGGATCTTGTAGATGGAAATTATCGTGTGGAAATTTATATACGTTTATTAGACCTAACCATGTATAGTATTTCTTACCAAAATCATGATAACACAGTTTGTTTTTTTTTAGGTCCGCTCTGACGTCCTGAGTTTGATATGTGACAGCTTAAGGACCACAGAACCTCTTACAGCTGGAGATTTAGATTTATTAAGAAAATTTTATCCGGTGAATATGAACAGTCAGTCGCCATCATTTCGACAACGTGTGCTAGCAATGACAAAAAAGGTATGTTTTAAACCGCCCCTGGTAAAAGTATGATGTCACAACGTTACTAATTGTCTTTATGTATAACGTTTCAGTTATTAATTCGTGTGAGAGATGGTGGTCGATCATTTAGCAAGAAATTGTGCGGAGAAAATTCTGCGGAATTAGATATTCTCGCTGCGCAAGTTAAGCTTTACATTGTAAGTTTGTATGAGAATATTTTGATGCGTAATTATGACGTCACATCTGTAGATAGTAATTTTCTCCATTTTGGTTTAAAGAGTAATCTCCACGCTAGCACAAAAGCCAGCTTGTGCACACGTGACAGAAAAAATAAAGCAATAGCGAGATTCGAGTTAATTTACAAAAACCTATTTGACAAACATGGAGCGGAAAACACGAAACAAACTTTATTAAGAGTTTTTCAATAAATATCTTGTAAATGAGAAAAGATTAAGTGAGCCTTAAGTGAAATAAGTTATAGCCGAATTCCTAAAACTATTTCACTAAAACTATTTCACTAAGTTTATTTCTTTGTTCTTTATACGCGTAATAAAATAATTGTTGAATTATGTTTTGGCGTGGCATCTGGAGTAGCCCTCAGGCTTGATAATGGACATGCAGCTAGAAAGAGCGTCTTAGAATGAGTAAAACTGCAAAGACTGGTTGCTAATTGTTGTAAAATGAAGAAAATATGGCCTTGTGAAGTTCGCAAATTTTGTATATGTTTGTTTTAAGTGTGGTAAAAATAACCACTTTCGGGCCAAAAATGGTTATTTTTCACGCGCGTAATACAAATATATACAAAATTTGCGAACTTCACAGGGCTATATTTTCTCATTTTACAACAATTCGCAACCAAACTTTGCAATTTTACTCATTTTAAGATTCTTTTTCCAGCTATGGTAATGGATTTCGTTCTTCTTGTTTAGATCAAAATTTCGTCTATTTCTGCTAAATATTTCTAGTAACATTCTTAAGGTCGCGAGTTTCGTGCCAAGAATGTTATGATCGATTAGATCAAGAGCTTTGCGAAAATCGAAAAGGACAACTCTTGTGGTCCATTTCCGTCAGTATCTTTTGTCCATTTATTGAACATGGTGTTTTGTCCATTTATTGAACAACAATTCGCAACCGAACTTTGCAATTTTACTCATTTTAAGATGCTCCTTCCAGCTTGGTAATGGCTTTCGTTCTTCTTGTTTAGATCAAAATTTCGTACATTGCTGGAATTATCCATTCGAGATCTTAATAATTCTCCATTTCATGCTCATCCACTAATTATTGACTGTCCTATCTTTATCTATTCTAGGAATTCATTCAATGGTTTGTGAAACTTCAGTTTCAATCATTGTTCCCTGGGGCTTCATTCGGCCGTAGAACCACAGCATTACAAAATCTTCATTTATTTTTACAAGTTTTTCCTGCGGGCCAAGAAAAAGGTATATCATGCACCATCATGAATTAATATAAGCATTTTAGGCCACTACCGTTTTTCGGAAGAAGGTTGAGTTTTAGTAGGAGGAGAGCACTCCCCCACTTCCACCAAAACCCCATGCACTTCTGGAAATTCTTCATTCAGATAGCACTTTTGAGCAAAAATATTACCGTCTTAAAACAGGTTTTTAATGCGTCTATATACAACGGTCAAAGTGCTTTCTTTCTTTCACAATCAATTATTCGTATTTGGCACAGTTTCTCCAAAGTACATTGTGAAAAACATAATTCGGAGAAAGTTTCAGTTTCAAAACCCACCATAAAAAGTGATTGTATAAAATTTTGACCATAATCACCCTGCACTGATCAACTTGTTTCCCCATGGTGCATTGCGCTCGTCACCCAGGATCTCTTATTCAATGGCTAAATCAGTCATTGTGTCACTCAATCGATCACGTTTAACCCACTTGAAATTTTAGATCGAGGTTGGGTCGGTACCTAGCTATATGAACAGGCTATGTGACTGTTTGATTATCACAACAAAAGTCGATAAAAACACTTTATAGAAATCGTTTTTCTAGAGAATGAATCATAAACATTGATCACTTTTGTTTCAGAAAAAGTAAAAAGCATATTCATATTAGGTATAGTACTTTCCGTAGAAATTCCACGATAAATCGGCATGACTATTTATTATGGCATTTGAACTAAATGCCATAATATTTATCTTGCTACATTGACCGTGATCACAAGACAGAACGTGTAATGCATGTAGCTACTGTTGATATTGCACACTTTGCGATTTTAACCCCCATATAATTCTAGTATGAGAAATTTTCCCGGAAAAAATTATTAACCCCCTCTAAAGATATTGACGCATATATGCCAGGTAATAAGGTAAGTTTCAGTTCTGCTGGTTGTATATTAACAGCAGCGTCAATAACGATGGCTTTGGTATCACTTTATCGGAAATCACCGCTATTTGACATAATCTTTAAACTCCCATAGCAATTTCACTGTTATTTAATGCATATTCAGTTCCTTAATTGTAGACTTTCATCGAGGTGATCAATATGTGTTGCGGTTTTTCTTCTTTTTTTTTTCATGGCTACGGTTTCGATTTGTAAGCCCCCATCGTATAATCTCTTCTATATGTACAAAATCATATAAATCACGTTTCCCTAAATCGTATATATTATCCATGCATGTAGAGAAAAGGAAACATGCGTGCTCTATCGTTGCTCATACATATGTTGTGTTTTCAGATCCGTATGCTATATGGGATGGTTCTGAGATATTCACATCGCAAACTGTCCACATTTTGCTGGATTGTATGAAAGATACATATGATATCAACAAGCAGATTGCATTTAATTTACTCGTTGCTTGCCCAGCTTCCATCCACCCATTCAAGGTAAGATGGCAACTGTAATCAGTCATCTACAATCCATAAGAGGCCGACTAATTCACAAATCTCACTATTCTGTACTTTGGAACACCCTGAGCTTAAATCACATAATTTATTCAACTAATCACATTTAAAATATGATGTTGGCCTACCTTTTACATCAAATCATACAATTTCACTATCTAGTCAATTTTTCGAATCCTTTCATCTGGCAAATGAGTGAAGTTACTTGTCTGAAAGACTTACCCTTTTGGATCTGTGAGTTATTTGGTCATTCGGTTTTATCACGTTCTCTCTGTTTCAGGATATCCACTTTACCTTAAAATGGACGACAGTAGCAACCCAGTGTGCAATCAGTCCAAAAGCCATCAACGTTAGCACTGCAGCTTGTATGTTTAAAATACTCATCCGTAAATCACCGCATAAAATATGTCTACCTGCGAACCCAGAAAATTGTACGGCTTTTGAAGAAGAATGTACTCAAGCTGATGGTGGAAACAAAGGCAATGACGAAGTTGCATCTTTAACTACCCAAGCGTATCAACTTGACTTAGGAGACAAAGAAAGAGAAACGTCGATACCATGTATGCAGGCTTTTAGACTTCTTTCTCAATTTGTCGAATTGTTGAAATTTCAAATTAAAGTGGCTCGCAAGAGTTTACTCGAGGCTGCATTTGAAGCTCCAATCCATGGCATGCTTTATTGTGTACGAGAAGTTATATGCGATCTACAACTAAGGTTAGAGAAATATCGTTAGTGCTATTTGTTTTGCAGGAGCCATTGTTTCAAAGTGGTTATTGACACAAACGTAATTATCGATAGGGTGGAATGGGGGCTGTCGCTCGATAGCCAATAAGTTTCACATACAATTCAAGGCAAACTCCCAACAGGTTGTTTATAAATTTGTAAACATTTCTTTAGAAATCTTGTCTGAATATCAGCACGAGTTATGTTTTCTTCTCTGAAGTTTTGTTTTGTTAGTGCTAACCCAGCTTTGGACAACCGTCCTCCGGTGGTTAAAGGGATATGGCAATATAACTATAGGGATATGGCAATATAATATTGAAATAACTTTTAAAATGATATATAAACTTCCTTTACAATTATTCCGTATCTTCGAAATAAATTTTGATCAAAAGCAGCGTCGGCATTCCGCCATCTTGGATATGCATTCGATATGCATACGTCACAAGTAGGGTAAAAAACAAAATTTTTATCTAGCAAACCATATGTCATTATCAATATGAAACTCGATTTTCCGACGTCTTTTTAGTACTCAGTTAACTCACAACATTTTAAGAAACTTTTCGAAGAAATTTAGTCCCAAATGTAAAAGTTTTAACAAGTTTACCCTGCTTGTGACGTCATCAAAAACTCAGTTAATCAGGTCAATTATAATACCAAGATGCCGGACTGCATACTGTTTTTGGTCAAAATATTTTGAAAACCAAGAAATGTACGAAAAAATTGTAAAGGGTTTTCATATACAACTTTAAAAGTTCTTTCAAATAAGGCAAAGTTAATTTTTATTGCTATATCCTTTAAAATCAAACGTAATTGGTGAGGTAAGGAGCTGCTTAGACGTTTTTCGACTATACCAACTTTTTTCATTTTAGTGATGTCGCTGGCAACAATGAGTGGCAGTGCTTAATTTCCGCTATGTTACAAGTATGTTATGACGTCACTGACGTTGTTTCTCCGGTTGTAACAAATTCCTCTCCCGAAGGGAATATTTGCGACAATGGTAAGTTTTGTATTTACAATAGAGAAATTTAGATCGAGGACGCGGACGTCAAAGACGACGTGAAAATGGCGTGTTGTGCCCATGTATGGATATGCCACGCCATTTTCACGTCGTTTTTGACGTCCGCGATCTAAATCTGTCTAATTTGACGTTATGTGACGCAATTTATAGCAAACTATAAGGTACCCTAAATAACCCATGTCTCTACCTCAACCCAGTCCACTTACCGGTACGGAGTGTTAAGCACAGCCTTTTGAAATATGTTTGGTTTTATTTTAAAACACGATGCTCCAAGGAGACTGGGACTGTGGAAATATGCAACTTTAAAACATCCGTTTTGTACATGTATACCACTAAAGAAAAGCACATTTGTTTTTTCGAAAATATTGATTTTTAAGGCCCCATTTACATGAGATCGGGACGAAGTCAAGCCGGAATGAAACCGGTTTACATGAGACCGGTTACTGGTACGAAAATCACAAAATTTTCAATTTATTCCCCTTGCCAGGCAATTTTCTTTTTCACATGGCTTTTGTTAGCATGTGTTGTTCCATTGTCAAGGTTACAGCCGAGACCGGTCTGAAATGTATCTATGTTTACATTCATCCCGGTCTGAATTCATGCCGGTCTGAAGTCAGTCGGCTCGGTCCAGCAGGCGGAATGACTTGAGACGGGTCTGAGTTATTTTCGTCCCGGTCTCATGTAAACATCTATTATAAATAATACTATGACCGAAACGAAATGGTCCCGGTTCGACTTCGTTCCGGTCTCATGTAAACGGGACCTAAGTTTTCGTGATATCGTTATGTTGGGTTTAGACCTTGAGAACAAGGAGATAAGACTTGTTAAATTAAGGGCAATATAGATATAGACGTTTCAGTGAGATAAATTTGACCTTCTATAATCGGCAATGGGCCTGTCACTTGAAAATAAAGGATGATTGCAAATGCGTAGTTCCTTGTCTATTGTAGTAGAATGAAGTAGTTGAAGTCAAGTCAAATCATTGCTGAAAAGTCTGAACGTCTCACCCAGGAATCAAACTCGAAGAGAAGCTCAACTTAGCTGAACCTCTGCCAATAAGCCATCACATGAGATGCCCGATCTAATGCAAAGTATTGTCATTATGTATTTGTCTTTACTTTGTTTTTTCGTATAGACAATGACGAAAATGACGAAGTGCTTCATCATTTTGCACCCAAGGCTCAAATCCTGTTAGTTTGCTGTTGGCGAGCAATGAAAGAGGTTTCTTTGTTGCTTGGGGAAATAACTAAGCGTGCTCCAGTGAAGGAGAAAGATCAAAGTTATGGATTGCTGAGTTTTGAACAGGTATATACAGTTTGAGATGTTACTTTAATGTTATCATAACTATTTCGCGAGTAAGTTGGAAAATTCTCAAAACACTAATCAAGTTTCTTTTGAAAATTGAGCCCATTTATCTTGGCATTTTGATCAACTCTCCCGATACCAATTTCTAAACAGTAATCTCCGGACAAAATATGTTAGAACCACCTGACATTCCAATCTATGATTATGTATAACAACGATCTTTGTGGTCAACTGGTTTATTTATGTTTAACGTCTTAGTTTGAAGAAATTGGTCAACTTTTTACGAAAATCTTGTTGACATCGAAACATAGAGGAGCTTATGAACTGGCACACGAAGGATTTGTGAAGCTTTGTCATATGTTATGGAGGTAATGACTAATGCAACGCCCATATCTTAGCGGGCATCAAGTTTACATTTGGATTTTGTAGATTTTCTCATTGTACATCCACAGCACGTTGCATTTTACAAAATATAAAACCTATTATTAAACTACAAAACGAAGAAAATGGTGGTAGAGAAAGATTGCGTTAGGATTGTCACACTAGAACTCTCATATTTTCTCTGCGTTTCAGCTGTTAACCATTAAAATTTTAGGAGTGTTCGCAGTCTCTATTGTTTTGTATTTTGAGGAAAGTTAAGTATCTGAGTAATATTGTGTACGTCATCATCAAGATAATACAGACTCTTCAGTAATCTGACCCCAATCTGGCAATTATTACTTAACCATAAATGTTATTTGATTCAAACGATTAGTTAAGCCCGCCGCACACGAGAACAACTTGCTGAGCTAACAGTCTCGCGAGGCGGTTAGCTCAGCAAGTTGCTCTTGTGTGCGGATAGTTTTCGTGAGCATTTGACCTCTCGAGGCCTTGAGGAAAATATCTATCGTGTTTGAATCTGTTAGAAGTTTGAGCTGTTTGAATCAATTAGCCAATGACAAACCATAGTTTCTTCATGTGACATGGAACAAAATGGAGGAAAATGCAAATAATTTTGTTAATTATGTTGTTGTTGAGTAGTTTTCCCAGCGTGTGCGGTGAAAATACATATCTGAGCTGGCTGCCACTCGAGGCGGTTAGCTCGGCAAGTTGCTCTCGTGTGCGGCGGGCTTTAGCATACAAATCACGAGTGTTTATGAGGGGAATGGTGAAAATAGTTTTATGAGGTGAAAGATGGAATTTTCCATTCCACCAGACGACACCAAAATACTGGAAAAAACCTTGTTCACAAATAATTAAAATAAAACAAAAAAGTGCCAATAAATGTTTCAGTGAAGAATTAATATGATAGCGGCGGTCATCGTAAAAATTATCGCAAAAGTTGCAGCAAAAATATTGTATTTTTACACTCGCCATCTCGTGATCATAAGCCAATGGAAGCCAATTCTTCATGGAAGCCAATTCTAACTAGACTTGGCCGGATGACGGTAAATATATTTGCACTTATGTTTAACACTCTGTGCCTTCCAGATGTGAACAAGTAGAGATCCAGCGTCTTCCAGGTGTATTCCTTACCAAGCTTCTAAATGATATTTCTTCAGACAATCCTACACCATGGTTGTGCGGCACAAGGAGGAGTGCTGGTTTACCGTTTTTCTTTAAGGTAATTGAACAACAAAAAGAGATTTAGAATCAAGTGGAAAAGACCTTTCGCCTCGCCCGTTTTTAGGTCTTGCACGGCGGGCTGTCCGTCTGTCACGCAGGCTACGGTATGACTTGATATTGGTATGTGTACCCCCAGTAGAACCATGATCAGGAGCAAAATTCATTGACATTAATTAAACATTCAAAGCAAACTTGTCCTGTTTAGGGTGTATAAAGAGCCCATGAAAATTCCGCACGAATTTGCGAAAAGTTTTTGCATGCATGCATGCATAGGCATAGTTTGGGTTGTGCTTGTAGTATCTTTACCACCAGCGGCGTAGCCATCTCGGATAATTGGGGGGTCCATATTCATATATTCATGTTCACAGACCTTAAAAACAATCGATTTTAAAATAATTTAATAATGCAGAACACTATTATATGAATATGGAACCCAATTATCGAGCTGGCTACGCCGCTGTTTAAGCCCACCGCACACGAGAGCAACTTGCTGAGCTAACCGCCTCGCGTGGCAGGTAGCTCAGCAAGTAGCTCTCATGGCCTTGAGGAAAATACCTATCGTGTTTAATATTTTTCGCCTCGCGAGGAAAAAATCTCAGCGTCTGCGGATGTTGTGAGCTAAGTGCTGAGTTATTTGAATCAATTAGCCAATGACAAACCATTGTTTCTTCATGTGACTTGGAACACAATGGAAGAAAATGCAAATGATTTTGTCAATTATGCATGTTGTTGTTGAGTAGTTTTCCCAACGTGTGCGGTGAAAATACATAGCTGAGCTAGCTGCCACACGAGGCGGTTAGCTCAGCAAGTTACTCTCGTGTGCGGCGGGCTTTAAACCACTAAATTATTTTGAAGGGTTGTTTTTAAAAATGGCTTGCGCCCAAGAATAAAAGACTTAAGGGGCTGTTACACTATGCAACTTGTCTTGCAACTTGTCTCGCAATTTCGTTGCAGCAAGCGTTGCACGAAGTATAGAATCAGGTTCTACTTTTCGCAACGCTTGACAACGACCAACGTTGGACATAATGTACGTGAAATTGTCTGGTACTTTGGTAGTATATAAACCACCTTCTAAATTTCCACTCTATGAATTAATATTGCGTTTTAAGCCTTCCATTTTGTGCGCATGCCTCATGCACTCGAAAATTTTCTTTTCAAAATAATTTTAATGGTGAAGATGCTGACAGACCGCAAACTATGCTTGCATAACGTTTTCCCAAATTTTGCGAAATTTGCAGTTTAGCAGACATTTTCAAACTGTGTAGGGTTTTTTATACACCCTGTATTTCACGATTTGCCGTAGAGTAAATCAATTCTTTAAAAACCAAATTGCTTGAAAGCTCATTGCATAAAACAATTTTGATTATTGAAATCTTGCATACCCCCTCCTTGCAAACAGCCATATTTTTGAGATCAGTGAGGATGACCACCCACGCACGGTGAACCATAGCCATGCGAACGTGGATTATTCTTGAATAGTTTAAGACTATTTGAAATATTTAAGACTTGAATAATTTAACAGGGTCCTAGTGAACATCGCTTTGGCAAGTAGGTTCCCTGGATAATAATTATAATAATGAGACCATTATTTTTCAGGCTATTGTAACAACTGAGCCAAATGCAACTGGAAAATGCTATTTTAAATCTGTTATGAAAGGTACTACTTTAATATAAATCTGAGAGCTGAGATACAATTCCAATGCACATTCATGCGTTGCATCTACACTATAATCCATTCACAGAATTACTGGAGCGTAACATTTTTACTTTACCTTTAGGTCTCCTGAAAAGGTCTTATTTTTACGCTGAAATTTCTGGCCATTTTTGCCGTTAAGAATTTGTAATAGACCCAATACCTTCCATCGACCCGGGATCTCGATCGACCAAATGCTGAACTCTGATATCTTCCCTTTGTAAAATAATGTTTTTTTTACTCTTACAATTAGAACTGTTAAAAACGGCAGCTAAACCTGTGAACACACAGGATACAAATAAGGATACAACTTTACCTCAGGTTTGTTTTGTTTATATATACTGTTGTGTGATCAACTTCTTTATCGATCAGTACAGACGTTTGTCGTACTGTATGACCAACTTAAGAATCGGCTTTTATTTAATGTTATTAAGTTCATTTTCCAGGTCCATGCCAGAAACATACTCCGTGCTCTTTACAAAGAAACTAAGTTGGGTGAAGATGTTTTTCCGTACGTTGCTGACGGTGTTCATGTCGCTGTAGAGGGATTCCTGTCAGAAATATGGGCTGTGAGTTGTCGTCATTACCGTAAGATTTAAAGTGTGCATTTGACACTTAGTAAAATTGAGGCATGTATTTTTTTATATAGGTTCGCAATTCTTCCACATTGCTATTCAGTGCATTGATGAACAGAATATTTGGTCCTCAGAGCGTTCAAGAAGAGAAACGTCGGCAAGGGTATGTTTAACATTTTCCATTGCATATTTGGTTAATTATTAGAGGGTTTTACTAAGTGTGACTTGGTAGTAAATACCAAAAGAAAGCATCGCAGACTTTGTGTTTAGTGCCAATTCATGTATAATGCTGGGGAGAATTTACCAACATATGTTGCTCCTCGACACATTCGAAGTTGCTGCATGGACATTCTTCAAGATATAACTAGCACGGCACGGTCTTGCTTAATAAAGGACTTTCTCCACACAGTTAGGTGTACATTTGGACCATTCTGTCTGCAGGCCTTAAAATATCGGTCGGTCACGGACATTGTCCGACCCATTCGTGAAATTGTCCGACGTAGAAAAGAAACCACCGGACATTCTGTCCGACCTAAGTGAAACTGAGGTTTATTGTTTGTCCGACCCGAGTGTATTGGTGTCCGACCGGAAAAGATATTTTAAGGCCTGTGTCTTTTATAAGACTGCCGGATGTCGAGAATGTGAGAGAATATATGAGAAGGCAAGCAGCTCATATTGAGAAGTGAGCTTTTTATTGAAGGTATAAAGGTCCAACTTATCTGAATATCTTGATTCACTGCTGGGGCAAGCAAAGGGCCTACTGGACTAAATGGCCCAGTGATTATAAATAGTTAAAGAATGCCCTGTGAGGTTGATCACTATGCGTAGAGATTGGAATCTTCGTATATTTTTGCCAAATTGCGCCAGCTATTAGTTATTGTAATGATAGCTATCATATAAAATATGCATATATAGCAATTTGTTACCAATCCTGGCAAGGGCTTGTTTTATATAGTATTATATATTCCTATTCATTTAGTCCTGGAATTAAGAACACCACTGTGGACACCACAATGTCATGTCATATTTTTATCTTTTCTTTAAAGAATGACTGGTCGAGAATTTTTTTCAAGATTTCCATCGTTACACTCGTTCTTGATAGAACAACTTGAAATTTCTTTGAAAGGTGATGAAAGGTAGGCCTATGACAATGTTGTTAACATGTAAAATGAATAGTTAAGAAATACAGAAATAGAAAAAGTGTCAAATGCTTTTGTGGAGTTACAATGCACGATCAACTCGATAAGGTTGAGGTTGGATAATTTTGTTCACATTAATTGTTTTGACAACCAGTGGAGACGAACCTAGAATTTGTAAAAACGAAAACTAACAGGCATTATTGCAGCATAATGCACGCTTGTTAGGAAGTAAAGTATGGGGAAATCCATTTTCATACCTTCAAGAAATCCACAGATATTTCAATTTGAATTTTATATATAGTTTCTTCTCTTGAAGCGCATCCGAGTTTATTTTTAAATAAAGATGCAGCTAATTCAATTAAGGTTGTGTCTTAAGGTCAAAATACATTGTGTTTAAGCCTTCCATTTTTGGGCGCAAGTCATTTGTAAAAATAACCCTTAAAAATAAGTTTAGTGCATGGTAAAGATACTACTAGCACACCCCACACTATGCCCATGCATGCATACATGCAAAAAGTTTTTAGCACGATCTGGATTCTTCAAACTTAAAAAGTCCCATGGATTATTCCGGGTTAGACGTGTGACTAAAATCTGAATTAGGTGAAAATCACGGGAAGTCGTAAATTATAAATCGCTTTATTACGCAAAAGCATAAAACCTTTTGGACGTAGCAACCATAACTACGGAGTGTCGGAAGTATGAATTACATATTGTATGCAAATCCATCATGCTTTTTATCGTCTAGCGATCGAGAGTTTTGACTTCGAAAGGACAACCTTAATAACTGAATTAGCTGTATAACATGAGGTGACAGAAAGCATATAACACATGCAGCAGTGAGCATTAGGGCCTATGTCAATTTTGGTCCATCAATTTCTTCAGCTTGTTAGATACGGTTTCATCCAGTTCGATGGAACCAATAACTGGGTCATGCATTTCTAAATGACCATTTCTAGATGGAGTGAACGATACTTAACTTTTTTCGTGTATAATCTTCAGAGTTTTATATTCAAATGCACACATATAATTCGAATACATTGCAGGAAATGCCCTTTCAGAGAGCCTAGATTACAAAATTTTATGTGAATGCATGCCCCTAAACTCCTCTAGAGGTTTGTTTTACCTATAAGCTGCCTTTTATTTGCCAAGACGAATATTGGATATGATAGAACTTAACGTCATGTAAACTATATTTTTACATTTAGTGACAATATCGCACGTTTCCGTCTACATCCAAGTTTGTATCCAGTACTCCTACTCTTATCTCGTCTTCATCCTTCAGCTATGGATGGCAATGATTCCACATTAAACATGGCTGCTTTTATACCATATGTTTTAAGGTGAATGATTTACCAGTAAAATATTGTATGATGTCTTTAAAATTGTATAAGCAGCCTAAGCTACTGAGTTTATAATAGCCGAATCGACAAGCAATTACAAATGTAAATACTATCGAATTTAGTCGAACTACAGTTAGCTGTTCACCAGTTGAACTTCAGTTTCAAATAAATGATAACCTGATTATCATACCTCAGCACGAATTAGACCTGTGGTAATTTGCTTAATGCTGCATGTTTGGGTCATTCGTACTTTAAAGAATGACTTGGCCTCCATTGAATACAAAAATGCCAAATTTCACAATTGACAAGAATGACATTTAAATATTAACGTACAACAGTGAATTGTTTCATCAATAATTTCATTATGGGTATAACCAGCACACGATAATTTCAAGGCATCATCTCAGAAAGAGAATGATGTGGCCTAGGAACTCGCCAGATCTCAACCCAATTGAGCATCTTTGGGACCAACAAAAGCGATCTGTCTATCGTCGGTTCGAAGAATACATGAGCAGTCTGGTTGACTTGGGCTCAATCGTTGCAGGATGAATGGATCTCAGTGGTGGGTGATCAGACCATGCCTCGAGGTGATCGAGAAGCGTGCATGGTGATTACATCATTATTAAATCATTGATGAAACATTACTGTTGTTGTGAAATTTAGGTAAAGTCATTCTTGTTAATTTTGAAATTGGGTATTTTTGTATTCAATGGAGGTTTCTTAATTCAGTGGAAGTTCTTTGTATTCAAAGTCATTCTTTAAAGCATGAATGACCCCGTTCTTCACACAGACTAAGCAACTACCATAGGTTTTAATTAGTGCTAGGATTGATTATCAGGTAATCATTTATTTAAAACTTAGGATGATATATTTAGGGGGGAACTTTCTTTTTGTGTGTGTTTATATTATTCTGTCTTCAATTCCACTTTCTGAATATTACTTCTGTGCTTTATTGCACTCACTCTCTCCCAATTACTATTTTGTGTTTCAGGTGTTCGAAGAGTTGCGTTCTCAAGACTCGTGCTATGGCCGCCCGTGCGCTTGTGCCTCTGGTATCTGGTGTAGCTTTGCAGGATATGCTGAAAAATCTTATTGAAAGTTTGCCACAATCATGCACTAAAAGGTAGGTAAACTTTGTTTAAGAAAAAGAAAACTAGTCGCGCGCGTTTATGGTGTGATAGTGTATGAGGAGGCTGTTGACAGAATACGAAAGAAGCTTTCTAATTAATTTTCTATATAGTTTTGTGTATATTTTTGGCTTAAAAAGCAGAGACGAAGCGGGGGGGGGGGGACAAAGAAATACCAAGGCAGTACCACAGACCACAGTGCGTTAATTATAATACGCTATATAATGCACGCGCATTAGCCATTCAACTAACAATTATTCACCTCAGTGTCAGTGAATAGTGCAACGATATTCATCGAAGCGCGAACATATAGATATCTTATATACACTAGATAGCGCGTCTCTTTATGTAAAATTGAAGCCAAGAATATTCCAGCGGTTACCCCCATTTGTATAGATGGCGGCCATGTTGGAGTTTCCCACTCGCTAATAAACGCTTAAAAAACAACAATAACTTTCATCATTTGAACAGTTTGAAAATGTATTTGGAATAGGTTTAACTTAATAGGTTAAATCAACTCCGAAAGTGTTATTCTGTCACCACAGAAATAGAATACATCTACACACTGTTAAACAAAACTTAGTGGCTTTCTTCGTGTTTGGCAAAACTGCAAATTTTACACAAGTACATTGTTGTGTGAACGTATTAGGGTCGCCACCAACCCATATGAATGGGCTTTTTGATTGGTTCATCATAAATAGAAAAGACAGTGGACTATATTAATCATCTTTCTAAGTGGTTTAAAACCATAGTTATAGAATAGATGGTTTGGAAACTCATTAGAATAACAATTTAACTCATTATTTATGTGTGAACGTTTATTCATGAATCTGGTCTTCACCGTCACGTGTGTATTGTATTTTTGCCCGACTAACCAATAGCAATGTCAAAGTTACCTATCCGTGACTCGAACAATAGGATAAATTGTAAATTGCTTTGGTGGATTTGGCAAAAATAGAATACACACGTGACGGTGAAGGACCAGAGTTATGAATAAACGTTGACAAACATGGATAATGAGTTACATTGTTATTCTAATGAGTTTCCAAACCATCTGTTCCATTAGTACTATTTACAACATGAGCGGCCGTGTTGTATCGGATATCATTGGCGAAGTAATTTTAAGAATAAACGTTGTCTAAGCCGAGAAAATCAAAGTTAAAATTTATGTAAATCAGGACAAATCTTTATCCGATTTACAAACATTGATCAAACATTCACATCTTTTTAATTTTCTTCATGAATTATTATTAATGAGTATTTTAAAGAGTCATACACACTGATCACTATTTTTTCATGAAGCCAATTACAAAACACGATCATTTTTACCCGAACGTCTTATCAATTGTAAAGTGTATACATGGACTACTTGACTTTTCGATTGTTTTAAATTTGTTCAAAAATATATTCTCTGATAGAAAATAGAAATGCATGTTATAAAAACTCTCCTGGTTGAAGTAAAACAGCATATTTTCATGAATCCAATGAAATTAAATTGTTAAAAAGGCGCAGTGTATACATAACAGCATTAGACCTCTCTTTATCAAAGGTCTTCAAATATTCTTACTGTAGTTTCTTCAACTTTCTCTCTTTCTTTATCCACTGATTCCTTCTCTAACTCTTTCACGTTGCGTTTTAAGTACGGTATACTGATGTGATTTATAATTGGAGGACCCCACTGAAAAACACTACGGTGATGTGTGTATCGTGGATAAATATAAAGACAATAATAATAACAATAAATCAGTTCCATTTTTCATGGTGTGTGCAAATATTTTCTTGTCTTAAAGAGTCAAACAGAATCAAGTCCATGGCTGTCTATTACAGGTTAATATTTCATTATATTGTTGTATGTACATGTTATTAGAATTTAGGTTTGTAGAACTAATAGCAGTGTGTGATATTGAACAATTGCGAATTTTAAGATCACTTTTTTATTTTGTTTTAGATACGAGAACTGTTAAGCAGCGCGTCCACTAACGTGGCTCTCTCCAACCGAACGAAGGAAGATATTTACACCAGCATTGTTCCTTTATTATCAAAACGTGTTTGGCTGGCTTTCAGGTATGATGAATCATGAACCGTGACTTATTTCAAGGAATTAAAATTACCCTGCCTTTTATCACGTACGTACCAGAAAAACAGGATCAGGTGTATAAAATTTGTTATCCTAAAGTAGCGATCGATTAATACAATTTAAGATAACATATTAATGGTGATTCCAGTTATAGACTAAATTTTGATCAAGGCAAGAAGAAGGAAATCCAACACCACAGCTAGAAAGAGCGTCTTAAAACGAGTAAAACTGCAATGATTGGTTTCTAAATGTTGTAAAATGAAGAAAATATAGCCCTGTGAAGTTCACAAATTGTGTATATAGTTGTATTACGCGCGGTAAAATAACCACTTTCGGCTCAAAAATGGTTCTTTTTCACGCGCGTAATACAAATATATACAAAATTTGCGAACTTCACAGGGCTATATTTTCCTCATTTTACAACAATTCCCAACCAAACTTCGCAGTTTTACTTATTTTTAAGATTCTTTTTCCAGCTATGGTAATGGTTTCGTTGTTCTTGTCTAGATCAAACTTTCGTTTATTTCTGCCAAATATTTCTAGTAACATTCGATCTTATGAAGGATATTTATTAAAGGTCGCGAGTTTCGTGGCAAGAATGCTATGATCGTTTAGATCAAGAGCTTTACGAAAATCGAAAAGGACAACTCTTGTGGGCCATTTCCATCAGTATCTTTTGTCCATTTATTGAACATGGTGATAAGAGCGAAAGTTGTAGAGGACTTGGGGGTGGCGCCGAATTGGTTTTTCTTGATTTTGGACAAAATCGCTGGTTCCACATGTTCCTCAACGACAACTTCTTCCGAAATTTTTGCCATAATTGGTGTCGGTGAAATTGGACGCAGGTTTTTGTTTATGTCCATTGGTGGGTTTTCTTTGGGATTGGCTCTATGTCAGCTGTTTTCCAGGTAGGAGGGAGGCAGCCTTCGTGATAAGAGCTGTTAAGGATGTCTGAAACAGGGTTAGCCAATAGATCAGCGTTCTCTTTGAGTAACCAGGATGGGATATTATCAGGGTTTTGTGCTTTGGTGCAGTTCAAAGTCGATAACTTCTTATAAACTGAGTAGGATGAAAAAACTATCGGTGATGTCACCAGAGTCATTAAAGCTGGAAGTTGGACAGAAGTTGCTAATTGCTTGGAGATAGGAAGGCATCGTTGATGTTATTCGATATCAAATGTTTCCTGATATCAAATGTTTATTGATATCAAATGTTTCGTTCCGGAATGTGAATCATCCTTTCCTTAAACAAGTGATGGAGACATTAAAAAAGTTAATTCTTCCAAAAATGTTTTTGTATTTGCTTACAAGACAACTAATGTTTATCAGACTGATCTGGAATCTTATAAAGAACTATACTGACATAAAACATTACAAAAACATATAAAATTCGTGATAGCAACAAAACAGATGATATTAATGGGGAGCTACGGGACATTACTAACAATCTTTCCATCTGAAATCTTGTTGATGTTATTGCCAAGCGTGACGCCTTCATTACAACAATAAAAGATCACAAAGAAAAGTTCTCTTCCAATGCAAAATGTCGCCTCATTAATCTATCTAAAAGTGAACTTGGAAAAGTCAGTGAAGTCGTCCTTGATAATATCAACAACAGACCTGGAAAAAGTGTTCAATGTTCCTCGGATCCGGAATTAGCCTTTTTCAAATGCTCGTCAATTATATTTGTTGTAAAATTGCTGAGCAAACAAAACAATCTTCAAATTCTATTAACAGGATACGAAGAACACTTCGCAATCTCAAATAGACTCAAATGGCAGATAACTAAATAT